TCCACACCTTACAGATGTGGACCACATTGTCCTACATAGTAACTTGAACCTCTGCAAGGAACTATGAACTAGTCAGAAACATAAAGGTATGTGCATGTGCATTCACATGACAAAAGGTATCAAATTATTTGTGACAATTTATCATTACCCACGCTTATAAGCCATTTCAATATCAACTTCAATTGAGGGACAATGACTATATCCTATGGAGTATTTTAGGTTTCTATAGGATTGGAAACTTTCCTGCATGAAGGCCAAAGAACCCATTTTTACAAAATATCTTCCCTGGCCTTGGAGTTCTTTCTACTCAGGGTCTGGGTACTGTCCCTCAGATTTTGTAATAAAGGAACAAATGTGATGACAACCTATCAGCATGATTCACAGCACTAATTGTGGGAAATTTCATGATAATTGGCAATAACAGTCTCACAGCCTTTACTACCTAGTTGGCCTTTCAATTGTGATTTTAAACCTCATATTTTTGAGCAACTAAGAATTCTGATGTGAAGCACCAGTGCCCCATTAGATCAGGAGATCTTAACTACTTGATCCAAGCAGGACTCATGGTTTCCACAGAATAGGATATAAAATTCATAACATCATATAGACATATGCAAAGGTCCTTTTGCAATCTCAGTAAAGGTCTGTTTACCTATCATTCTGTAAACCACATCCAAATTCTTCCACTAAATATTTGGAAGAATGCATTGTTTTCACAGATCATATTAGTGGTCCTCAGGTTGAATTCAGAGGCAAAAATTTGTGAGGCTTCCTTTACCTTCTATACCAGATGCCCTTTTTTATCTCTGATTTTTCACCTTAGGGTCTTGTTTCTTTGTCTGGGCCTTTCAACACACTAATTGTAATAATTACATATCACAAGTAGCAAACAAGATAGGCACATATGACCAGATCCATCCTTTTCTTGGCTAAGATACCATATTCATGAAGCTATTGCATGGGATGGCCTACAAATACTACCTTTGTAATTTCAGCTTCCTGAGTAGCTAAGATTCCACACGAGGGACTGTAATTGCTCATTTTTAATTGCTGATTTTAAACTAAAAGAAGGAAAAGGTATTTTACCAATTCAGTGAGCAGCAAGTCCCTTAAATTTTGAGCTCCAGCAAAAGTATTAGCCAAATGATAATAACAAAAGTGATAAAATCAAAAATAAAATGTTATCCTCAGGGCTACTTTGAATGTGGTATGTTGGTTCATGAGTTTTAATGACAGCTATATGACAGGCCTAGGTAGAAGGGACTCCGGTCCATGAACCATCCTTTATCGGAAAGCATCCAGTTTGTAAAAATGGGAGAATGAACTATATCCAAATAGCTGGTGTTTGTGTATGTGTGTGTGTATGGTACAAGTAGAAAGGCCAAGGGCCTCCTAATCCCCCTATTTTTTTCTTCTTTACTAGGCCTCAGTAGATAAGCAGATGGGTGAACAGTGTGAGGGGAGGGGGTAAGCTACCAACCTAGCTAAATCTGGCAATGTGAAGTCCACTGTCCTTATCTTGTAAATGGAATCCTGGCCAGGATTTAAGAATTCTCTTTGAACAATTAAAATTGTTGAAGGCACAGGAAGCCTGAGGTGAAGCACTAAATGAAACCTCTTATTCGCAGAGAGAGATTTCTTCAGAACAGCCCACAGGGCTCATGCTTTGATTCCTAGCTTTTTAGATTTCTAGGAGCTCTCGTTGGCTTCAACTCAGTCCCTGAGTTGAAGACCTCATATTGGCACAAAAACATTTCTTCATGAAAGTGTGAAAATAGAGCCCTTCATGTAACAAAACAGCTGTGGACATATGTAGAATGACTGGCTTCTATAGGATATGGAGTCTTGGTCTTGGTTTACTAATTAAGCACTTTCTGATGTAACAGACATTTTTTCTGAATGCCTCCCGGATATCTTTAATTACATAACTATAGAGTGGCATCTACCTTGGCTCTAGAAATTCTAAATTTAGGTCAACCTTTGTGTTTCTGTAAAAGAAGACAGTACATTTGTTGGAAGCCACATTATGGAAGATGGAATACTGCAGTGTTTATTACACAGCTAGCAGTCTGCAAGCAGCCTGTTGTAACAAGGACTTGCAGTCCACAAACAGACAGCTTGCTAACAGGACAGAAAGGAAAAAAAAAAAAAAGAATTAAAACAACACCAAGAAACCAATCAGCAGGAAAAGAGTGCTGAATTGGCACACTATGATGACCAGAGACAAGCCAGGAGACAGGACACAGGACATGATCACAGAGACATGTACCATAGCATCTAGTGCCACTGCTGGTCCAGCCTAAATAGGGCCTAAGCAGGAGGGAGGTCTACAGGAAATTCCAGTCCCAGTCACTGGACTAAGAGATTGAGTAACATATCAACCAAATTCTCACCCCTGCTTTCAGGGAACCAGCGACACCTATCAGTTGGGTGGCAAGTGATGAAGGGGGTATTCCTTGCCCCTGCATGAAGACAAGATGCCAGACCCCACCATCCACCATGTGCCCAATAGGGCACCAGCCACACCTGACCTCCTTACTTAATATTCTTGAAATATTAAGTCAATTTATAAAATGTTACAGCCTCCTTATAATTTTGTAAACAGTTCAAGAATTAACTTTTGTAAAAGCCATTTTTCTTGAGCCCCACCTCTGAAACAATAATTCTCACATTCACCAAAAATTAAACATTCTTCTTTTGAATAGTTTATTTCTTCCTCCTTCCTCATTCCTTCCCTTCCTCTTTCCCTCTCTCACATCATTCCTTCCTGCCTTCCTTCCTTCCTTCTTTCTTTCCTTCCTTCTTTCCTTCCTTCCTCTCAGGGCCTAGAAGTGATGCTGTAACTCAAGTGGCAGATGGTTTTATTTTTTTGTTAACTTCAATTTTTGTGAGAGGTTGATCAATATCTTTGTGTGCTTGATTATTTCCCCTAATATCCTATCCACTTTGGCCCTCTATGAGATAACACAGGTGCGACACATCATCCACACTGGTGTTTTGTAATAGCTTGCTCAGCAGAACAACTAAATAGGCTAAGAGTGAATCAATCACAAGTTGCTCATCACCAATGATTAATTAAAGAAAAGAGCAAGCACTGAAGACACTTTGGGGTTCTCCCCCAAGGCACAATGCAGATTCTAGGCTTTATTAATCTATCATATTTTTAAATATATATTTTATTGTAAACATACTGTACAGATTGGTTATACCATTATGAGTTAGGTCATGAATACATTTCCTTTTGAGCATTGTTACCCCTCTGAGAAAGACTTTACTACTATGTATGTACTGCAATAAGGACTAATATCTTCCTTTAGATCTTCCATTCAAAAACTGAACTGGAATAAGTAAGTCATTTGTACTATAACGCATGGATCACACATACAGAGGGAGACTTAAGGGAGCAGTAGAAATATGGTTGTTCTCATGTTCTTGCCTCCAATCATAACAGTATTTACTCATCTATTGTTCCCATAAGCATGTTGGAGATGATCTGAATCCAGTCCCAAAGGGCTAGAACTCATATTTCTAAGAGGAGTTTACAAATTACCTTGACACACCATTCCTTAGTATAAAAGACACAAGTGAATTATTTCAATTTCTTAATTCCTTGTCGAGACTGGTTGTTTCTACATGCTTTGGATAATATTGAAGGACACCATCCACACTCAACATAATGACAAATGTTGGCTCAAAGAGAGCTGAAGAGTGAAGAATGGTTTCCCATCACCCCTAACTTACCTCTGCCATGAAGAATTTCTCTGTATAATTTACAGAGGTTTTCTGACAAAGATTTTCCTACATTGGGTTTCTTTCCTGGGTGAATATTTTAATAATTGCTGAAGGTTGGCTTCTGGTTGAAAGACTTCCTCTCATGTTTATATTTACAGAAGTTCTGTCATGTGTCCAGGTCTCTGATACCTGTACAGATAAGATTTCTGGCAAAATGTTTTCTATACTCATAATTTCTCTCCTGTGTATGATCTCACATATGCTGAGGACTCAGTTCTGATTGAAAGTCATTTCACATATGTTCTATGCACTACTTTCTTTTCTCCTATGTGAGTCAGTTCTCTCATGAACACTGAGATATTACTTTCAGGTCAAAGACTTTCCACATTTGTAATATTTTTGAGATTTCTCTGCTGGGTGTTATATGAACTTGGATCTATGAATACTTAGTAAAGGACTTTCCACATTTGATATATTTGTATTTTCTCTTATCTGTGTCTGTTCTCTGATGGAAACTGAGTTAGGACTTTTTCTTGAAAACCTTTCCATTTTTTCCTACATATGATTTCTCTCCTCTTTGTGTGTAAGAGTATGTGTCTGTGTTTCTGTGTGTTTTGGGTGTTCTGTGATGCACTCTGAGCTGTGTCTTGTAGTTGGAGGACTCCACCTCTGCTATATCATAAGGTCTCTATCCTGTATTGGTTCTGTATTGCAATTTCAATTTTCTTACAGATCAAAGACTTTCCCCATTTGGTACAATCCTAAGTTATTTCATTTGTGTGAATCAACTTATGTGTGTTAAGCTGTGACCTCCAGGTCTTTCCACACTGGTTGCATTCATAAGGTTTCTCTCCTTGTGTTCTGTGATGGATGTTAAGGTTTGCCTTCCAGATGAAAGAATTTCCATGCCTACTACATACATAACATTTCTCTCTAGTGGGATTTTTTCTGATGGACAGAAAGGTGTATGTTCTGGGTGAAAGAATTTCCACATAGGTTACATTCATAAGATTTCTCTCCTGTGTGTGCTCTCTGGTAGAAAGTAAGGTGTAGCTTCTAGCTGAAAATCTTTCCACACATATGACATTCATAAGGTTTCTTTCATGTGTGTTTTCTGATGGACAGTGAAGTTTTACTTCCAGGTGAAAGCCTTTCCACACATGTTACATTAATAAGGTTTCTCTCTTGTGTGTGTTGTCTGGTGCAAGTAAGGTATGACTTCTTGGTGAAAGACTTTCCATACGTGTTACATTCATAAGGTTTCTCTCCTGTGTGTGTGTTCTCTGGTGGCAAGTAAGCCTTGATTTCTGGATGAAACACTTTCCACACAGGTTACATTCATAAGGTCTCTCTCCTGTGTGTGTTCTGTGGTGGGCAGTAAGGTTACCCTTTTGGGTGAAAGATTTTTCACACACATTACATTCATGAAGTTTCTCTCCTGTGTGTATTCTCTGGTGGCTAGTAAGATATGCCTTGCAGGTGAAAGACTTTACACAAATGTTACATTCAAAAGGATACTCTTTTGTGTGTGTTCTCTGGTGAACAGTAAGCTTTGATTTCTTGGTGAAAGACTTTCCACACACATTACATTCATAAGGTTTCTTTCCTGTGTGTGTTATCTGATGGACAGTGAGGGTTGACTTCCAGGTAAAGGACTTTCCACACAAGTTACATTCATAAATTTTCTCTCCTGTGTGTGTTCTCTGGTGGGTAGAAAGATATTCCTTGTGGGTGAAACACTTTCCACAAATCTTACATTCAAAATCTTTCTCTTTTGTGTGTGTTCTCTGGTGGACAGTAAGATTTGATTTCTGGGTGAAACACTTTCCACACAGGTTACATTCATATGGTCTCTCTCCTGTGTGTGTTCTGTGGTGGACAGTAAGCTTTGATTTCTTGGTGAAAGACTTTCCACACATGTTACATTCATAAGGTTTCTCTCTAGTATGTGTTCTCTGGTGGACAGTAAGGTATGCGATCCTGGCGAAAGACTTTCCACACATGTTACATTCATAAGGTTTCTCTCCTTTGTGTGTTCTCTGGTGGCTAGTAAGATATGCCTTGCAGGTGAAAGACTTTCCACAAATGTTGCATTCAAAAGGTTTCTCTTTTGTGTGTGTTCTCAGGTGAACAGTAAGCTTTGATTTCTGGATGAAATACTTCCCACACACGTTACATTCAAAAGGTTTCTTTCCTGTGTGTGTTATCTGATGGACAGTGAGAGTTGACTTCCAGGAGAAGGACTTTCCACATAAGTTACATTCATAAATTTTCTTTCCAGTGTGTGTTCTCTGGTGTCTAGTAAGATATGCCTTGCAGGTGAAAGATTTTCCACAAATGTTGCATTGAAAAGGTTTCTCATTTGTGTGTGTTCTCTGGTGGACAGTAAGCTTTGATTTCTTGGTGAAAGACTTTCGACACACATTACATTCATGAGGTTTCTCTCTTGTGTGTGTTCTCTGAGGGACAACAGTGTGTGACTTTTCACATTGTTTATATTCTTCAACTACAGAAGACACATGAGGACTATAGGCAGCACTCATCTTACCAGGTTCACTGAAAACACCCATTTTCTGACACCCAGTGACCTTTTCTATCCTCATCCCTAAGGAGTTCCCATTATTCTTAATCAGTTCTGACTTCTGTATGGAGCTCAAATGAAAACTTTTTATCAGTCTCACTTTTTCCTCCCCTGGGTTAGTATTCATGACTGCTACTTCAGAGAGATATTTACTGTGACTTTCCTGACAGGTGCTAATCACATCCTCCATTTCTGGGACATCTAAAATGAATAATAGAAAAATAGACAAAAACATAAATGAGACCCACAAATTCCTTACGATAACGATATTTCCTCACATTTTGTTACTAGATTTTCAATTATCAAAGCATTGCTTTTTGCAGAATATATACATTTCTCTGCAATGTAGTAATTAAGGAAGTAGTACTGACATTTTACAATGCAAAATAATGTTTTTCTGTATTTCAGATTATTATATGTTTTCCCAGGAAATATTTCCTGAAATTATTCATCTCCATACTCTTAAGGCTTCCATTCTGAATCGCCCTCTATGCCCAGCACCACTGATAAGAAATTGTCCCCATCAGAGGATAGCAGCCCTAGCATACTCCTATTTTCCTCCTACCTGCATAATACTAGTTTAAAAGAAAATGAGATCTTCCTTTCTACATTTCTTATTCTCTTTTTCTCTTTATGAATGACTTCTTTACAGAAAAAGGGAATTGCTAACACTGCCTACACTGGCACACCAAATTCAGTGTGTCTCCATGTGAATTCTGGATTGACAATTCCTTGAGACAAAGGATCACCTAGTTCTCTGCCACACATGACTCAGGGGCACTAGGAATACTATTGCTCTGTACAGCTCAATATAAACAGACCCACTGGGCTCTGGATCCATCATCACCATTCAAGATGCTTTAACCAACCTGTAAAATTCTTGTCTGAGGTTTCTCTTATCCATGGTTCTGCACCTTGCTCCAGCTTCACAATCAATTCAGGTTTAGGAACACAGTGCCCTGTGAATAAGAAATAGTGGAGAACAATTGCTCTTGCTGGGTCATCATTAATGTAAGGTCGCAGACATCCTGTTCGCAAGGTTGCTCCTAAATCTGGTTTCTCAATTGTTTTTGTGGGGGGCCGTCGAGTTGTGGGGCGTGAACTCTGGGCCTGGGAGCTGTCTCTCAGCTCTTAAGCACAAGTCTAGCACTCTATCACTTGAGCCACAACACCAATTCTAGCTTTATTTCCCTGCTTATGTGTGCTGAGATATCGAACACAGGGCCTCAAGCATGCAAGGGAATTGGTCTACCCCTGAGACATCTTCCCAGCCCATGGTTTCTCTATTCTTAATAACTCCATGGTGGAGTTTCCCCCAGCTTTGAGTTTATTGTGTCCATTGTGTGGCTTGAACTCAGCTCTTTTGCTTAAAGCTAGCATTCTACTAGTTTGAGTCTTGCCTACGATTCTAGTTTTTGAATGGTTAATTGGAGATAAGAGTTTCATGGTCACTTTTCCACAGTTGCTGGCTTCAAACCAAAATCTTCAGATTTCAGCCTCCAGAGTATCTAGAATTCCAATCTTGATGCACTAAACTCTGTGTCAAGTTTGGCTTACAAATACACACTTTCACCTACTGATTTCCAGATCATACTGTCAGTAGTAATGTATATTTTATCTAGACTGTAGATCCACCTATAATAATTATCCCAAGTCTGAGAGGTCAATCTCCTATTATTGGATCATAGTTTAGAACTTTTGTCCAAAATTGATTAGAAATCTTAAAGACTGAAAATAAAATTAGCTCTTGAGTTACATATAATGAAGTTGAAGTTTCCCTTACAAAGAAATGACACTTCCCATGGACTGGAATCTTTTTTAGTTTTTTTGTTTGTTTGTTTGTTTTTAGAAAATGTTATGGTTCAAAGGCTTACAACTGTAATCCTTCATTGAAGAGATGAGATCTGAAGTGGCAGGCTTGAAACCAACATGGGCATGGAAACCCAGAATATACCCCAAAACTAAAGCCAAAATGGAGTTGTGGTTTCTGCAGTAGTGCAAGGCAAACAACAACAAGCTCCCAGACCTGAATTTGGCTGGCTTTTATACTAGCAGTTTTTTAGCTGGGAATGGACTGGAATCTTATACGTAGATAACATAAACAGTCAAATGTCTACTAAAATAAAAGCACTTGATCTTCCAAGAAAAAGTGACCTTTGCTCACCCAAGGACATTAGGTTGCTATAGGTCTCCAGCATTACATCTCTGTAAAGGGTCTGCTGACCAGGATCCAGATCCTGCCACTCCTTCCATGTGAAATACACAGCCACATCATCAAATGACATCAGCTTCTGTAATGGCACATTTCCATCAAGAAATTAGACCTGGGTCATGAGAATTCCAATCAGGAATTTCATTATGCTGCAGGTATGCTTTTGTCTTACATTAAATGTTTGCAGCTTGCTGTGTTATCTATTCACTGGGAAAATTAAATAGCAAATTAGAAATATTGGACAATATATAAACCTGGTCATTAAAACACACAGATTGGCAGGGCACTGGTGGCTTATCCTCCTAGCTATTGAGGAGGCTGAGGTCTGAGGATCTAGGTTCAAGGCCAGCCCAGGCAGGAAAGTCCATGAGACACTTATCTCCAATAAACCACCAGAAAACAGAAAGTAGCACTGTCACTCAAGTGGTAGAGTACTCACCTTGACCTGAAGAGCTGAGGGACAAGAACCAGGCCCAGAATTTAAGCCCCAAGACCAATAAAAAATTACAGTTTCCCTATTGCATGCAAACACATTTCTGCTGCTAGCAATAGAGACAAGATAAAAACTCTAAGGAGACAATAATCTGGCATGACAACAATAAGTCTAAGGAGGTGTCTGAAAAATTGTATTATCATTTTTTGATAAAATTTTAGTACATATAAGGGTAACAATGAATTAAACAAATATTTTTTCTGCATTTACATATACTGCTTCACCCTAAATCCTATTTTGACTTTCTATTAACAGGTTCTCTCATAAGCAAGCAGAACACATTCAGGATATGACATGGAATACAGAACATAGAATATTACTAGACCTATGAGAAGCAGTGTCCACATGAATATTCAAAAATACTAACAGTACTCCAGAAAGTAGCTAATGATTTATTTTGCCCATATAAGATTTCATTGAGTTCACACATTAAAATACCCTAGGTTAACCATGTTTGGTTTAAATACTAAATATTGAAAAGTGGTCACAGATACCCTGATATTTCCATCCTATGTAAAAAAGAACTGCTACCATGAAGTTTTGTAAACTTTGCCTACATTCTAAAATACAAAATATATGTGGGAGGGGAATAAAATATTTTTTACAATATTTTCATTTTAATAGACTTCATGGAAGGTGGAGGAAAATGTATACAAGCTCAAGGAATACTCAATATGACAAAAATGATGAATATGAACAAATGCTCCAATGTGTCACATATTTCTGAGTCATTTCTCCAGTAGATCCCTAAGGATATATTTCCACTTGTGTTAGTTAATCGCAAAATTCCTCAGAGATCCAAATCATTTCCTGAGAAATCCGTGAGATTTTGCAACAAGTGATATTTCTAATAAAGAACACCTTGTCACTGTATTTTTTTTTTATCAAAACCAGTTCCTATCATATACTGGCAGTGAACTAAAATATTCAAAAGTAGTGGGAAGGAAAGACAAAACAAATACCACATCAAATGAAGTTAGACCAAAGATAACAGAATCAGGAGAAAACTGATTTTCTTGTAGTTTATAAGTTGGGCGAAGAAAATACTTTTCTGTGGGGAACTCTGAAGTTGAGCTGAAGGGGGAAAAGGTTTGAGAGGTTGGAATTCCAGCCTGACCACAATGAGAACACTGAGAGCTGGCCACAGAAGGGTTAAAAGAGAATTCTGGAGAGGGTTAAGAGACTGGAGGGCAGGCCTTTTCCTTACTGTTGGAAAGATAGAAAGATAGCATCTGAAACTGAGCTGCTGTTCACCTTCAAGGCTAGGTAAGGTGAACTTCATGTCTGCATTTTATCTGGGAGCCAGTCTTCTGTCTCAGGAGATTAGGAAACATGTTTTCCTCACAACCTGTTGTGGCTCTGAATGTACTACTAATATAGATACTTCATTTTTGCATGTTATCAATGATAATCTTCCCTGTGTGCACTCAAGGAACTATGCTTGCTTGCTGGCACCAAGGGACCAAGTGCCAGAGAGCCTTCCGAACCCTGGTTTTCCCTAAGTCTATCTGTTTATGTGTTTGTGATTTTCTAATTTTGTTTCTGGAATCCTGTAGAACTCTCTAGGGAACAATTTTCCTATACAATGGGTAAGAAAAATGTCAAACCTAAGAGCCATGTCAGCAAAGTAAAACTGATCACTAAGAAAAAATAGTTCCCAGATAGATCATTTGAAGAAAAGAAACAACTGAGACACATATGGAGGAAAGAGGGAATGAGAAAAGTAAGAAAAAAATGATAGAAAGATAGATACAAAGAGAGAGAAAGAGAAAAATAACCAACACTAGTGAGTAGAAAATCAAAAATAGAGAGAGAAAATAGAGAAAAGAAATTTTGTGAGGATTCTTTAGAAAACAAACAGGAATTTGTAGAAAGACCATAAAGTTTAGCAACAAATATATCCTAAGTTTCAAGTAAGACGAAGAACATGAAGTCGACCAAGTACTATATATGGAGAGTAATTTAAGTACATATAGGTTAATCATTCCATAACAACACATGAATTTGTGTCTGTCCATAACACTATTTCAGCAATTCCAAGAAAATTTCATTGAAATAGTTTAATGTTGCTCATGAGGATGTGATCTGTTTGCAAGCTATCCTTCACCTTCCATGAGAAGAAACCTGCTTAGAGTCATTACATCAAATAACAGATTTGATGACATTTTATGAGAAGATGAAACCTAGACATTCTGAAGCCAATCTGCATTCAACTTAGAAAGAATATAACCATTTAATCTGCTAAACCTACAAGCAATCTTAATCTGCTAATCTATAAGCCATATGAATATGTTCCTGAGGCTGAATCTGTGTGGTTGGAATTGTTTTAAATTCTTGAACATCTTTAGGTTCATATAATGGAATAAAACCAAATGAGAAATAAAAAAAACAACTCACCAGAGATCCATTCATTCTGTCTTGCTGCTGACAATGAGCAGAAGATTCTGGAAGCATGGCTGGGATACAAGAAAAATGACGTATTCAGAAATGAATCTGTGAGGAACATTGCTTGCAGACCCAGAGTTCAAGCCCCACCAATGACCAAAAAAAACAGAACCAGAAAAAGAAACCCGTGGAGGATAGACTCCAGCAGCAATCCCACAGTTCCTACCTAACATCAGTTCCAAAGCTTGAGATTCCTTCAAGTTACAGCTCCCAAGCTCCATTGCGCAGAGCTGGGCGCTTGCCTCCTGGCTCCCACCTATGGCAGGCCGAACTTTACTTCAGGGCACTTCCAGCAGCAAGGCAAAGGGAAAAAATCCAGCAGGGGCCTACTTAATATGCCCAAGGTGGGCGGGGAGACGCATGCCCAAAAGGATCTCTGAGCCACTTCCGCCCTCCAAAAACAAAAACAACTCAGGACTTTCAAACCAAAAGCCCTCCAAGGAGACTACAATTCCCATAATGCTCGGTGCCACCTTGCTTCACCTCTGGTCAGAAGAGTGCTTGGATGCATTGGGACTTTTCTCTCCCTGCTGTGGGAGCTAAGGTGAGTTTCTTCTTCAAAACCACTGCTTCCTTTGTAAAATATTGTAAGACCAACCAGAAAATGGATATATATGGGGAGAATTGGATGCATTGACTTTTTGGTACTTAGTTCTAATAATGAAATTGAAGTTATGAGACTGTGTTTCTCATACCTTTCTTTTTGTTCTATTCCTGTGTTCTGCTGAGTGTAAATTATATCTCAGTTTTGCTTTACATTGTTTAATACCTCCCCTCTCATCTTACAAACATACTCATAGACACTGAGCTTATAACGGGTCATTTTCCATTAGTGTAATTTTACACACTGGCATAGAATAAGAAGATGGTTATGTGGATATGCATCATAATCCTTGTGTTGATTTAAATTTTGCAAAATCAAACAATTACTTTTTCCAGAAAATCCCCAATCTATCTATTAAATGAAAATGAGTTTTTGGCTGTTTCTGAATTTTGCTTTTCATTTAAGGGTTTTATGTTTTTTCTTTGTCTGTTCATCCTGAGGCTTCAACTCAGAGCTTGGTCACTGTCTGTGAGCATTTGCTGTGCTCTACTTGGATTTCCTTTAATAATTTCTTCAGGTAACTAGTGAAAAGTTTCCTCACAGGGATTCTTAAGAGCATGGCACATTTCCCTGATTTTCCTACAAAGAGAGTGGTTTGGGGGTCAGAATGAATGCAGGTGAGTAGAAGAGTGAAGTTTAGGCTAGGCTATGTTGATGTGAATCTTAATCATTTACAAACCAGTCTGCTTTTGTCTTCTCATTTTGCATGTGAAAATCTCTTTAGAATCCTTACCTCTTCTCTGATCCTAACAGTTCCTCTCAGTAGCTTTAGGCTACATATCTAGGGGACCTCTGACTTGTCTTCTCAGACCTTATCCATTAAGCTGTGGAATAAATCTTTGCCTTCTGCCACAGTCGTACAGAGCACAAGACTTCTGTGGGCCAACGGGATAATAATTAAGGAGACAGAGAGATGGCTGATGGCACAATTCTGCTATACTTCTCAAATGCTTGTGTAATATTGGTCTACGCCCACTGTGCCAAAAAGTGCAAACAGCACACACCTTTCCTCATTCTACTTCAATCAATCTTTTCCACCAAAGCCTCCCTTCACTTAAAGCCCCAGGCCAAACAGCTAGAACACACACTTCCTCAAACCAAGAAAGGGCAAGGACTTGCAACCCTGAGGGTGGGAGTCAATGGCCCTGAAGCCTTTGTTCACAGTTTGCCTGCTCCTGGCAGGCACCCCAGGGTCTGCAACAGTCTCCCTCTCTCATATTCAGAGATCCGATACTTGTCTCTTAAATATTTATTGTGATTTTTGGTGATCCTTTACATACAATATAATTGAGATGGTTTGGATTGGAAAGTTTCATGCCTGGTTTTAGGTCTCCAGTGTATAGGTTTTCTATATCTCCTTTTTGGACCTGAATTATTCCTCAGGAAAATGGAAATCAAAGGGCATATTTGGATTTATAGACTTCAACTTAAAAGCACCTCTAATAATATAAAGAAAATTTAATTTCATTCAACAAATGTAAATTCCTGAGAGGCAAGGAGAAAAGGATCAGAAAGAATTGGAGTACTTCCAAGACTACATGTGAAGTGTTGTTTTCATTGTTCAAGCCTGTATTTCTGATGCATTTACTTATATTTTTATACTTTTTTTTTTGGTCGTTTATGGCACTTGTACTCTGAACCTGGGAACGATCTCTGAGCTCAAGTACTCTACCATGTGAGCCACAACACACTTCTGGATTTCTAGTGGTCACTGGAGATAAGTGTCTCACACATGTTGGTGGCCAGGCGGACTTTGAACTGGGATCCTCAGGTTTCAGCCTATTGAACAGCAAGGATTACAGACATGAGGAACCAGCACCCAACTTGGATTTCTTGTGTTTTATTTCCCAACTCTGGGGCTTGAACTCAGTGCATGGACACTGTCACTGAACTTCTTTTGCTCAAGACTAGCATCCTACTACTTGAGCCACAATTCCACATTTTGCGTTCCTGTGTATGAGGTAGTGAGGACTTGAACCAGGGCTTCATGCATGCTAGGTAAGCATACTACCACTGCTTGGGCCAGCCACAACACCAGCAGTGCTCCAGAAGAACAAGGGGATGATAATGGAAGAGACAGAGACCAGGCCAATGATGAATCTCTCTTTATTTCTGCAATATCCTTAGCTATAGACACTTTCTATATCTGTCCAGTTCTTGCATCACATTGTTCTAGGACTCAATGTGGCAACAACTGCAGATCATATGCATCCTTCCTCATTCTAGTTCAACCTTTGTCCACCAAACTCCTACAGGTAAGGCCCCAGGCCCAGAAGCTAAAAGGAACACTCCCTCCTATGAAAATGGCAAGTACTTACAGCCCTGAAGGTTGCAGTCCATGGTTGTGGAACTTTTGCTCACACCTTGACAGTCCTTGCACCTCTGAGTCTGCAACAAGTCCTCCTTTTTATTTTGTAAATTGAGCAAGTGTCTATCAGCTTGAGCCTAGAAAATGCAGCAGATCATACATCTCAATAAGAATGGAAGAAAAAGGAATACGAAAACAAGAAACAGGAAAATGCCTAAGAAATGGAAAAAGGAGTGCTATTTCCTAGGCTGAATCCCTGCAGATAATGGAGAACTGATGCAGCTAAGTCTGCAGGGTGTGCTACCTATAGGGTGGAGTGACAAATATCAGATTTCTGACCCTGTAGCTGCCTAATGTCTAACCTTAATTTATCAAAGGAGGGCTGGGAAGGTGGCTCAGTGTGGCTCAGTGGTAGAACCCTTGCCTTGCATGCATGAGGTCCTGAGTTCGATTCCTCAGCACCACATAAGCAAAAAGAAAAAAGCAAGAATGGCACTGTCGCTCAAGTGGTAGCCCGCTAGCCTTGAGCGCCCAGGCCCAGAGTTCAGACCCTATGACCAGATCCTCCCCCCCAAAAAATTATCAAAGGTCCAGATTCCTCAAATATGTCACTGGATATTGACCCATATCATATTGAGGGATAACACAGACGTACTAACCATTAGCATGTCACATCATTTTTAACTGAGTCTTTAGCACATCTACTTGATTATCAATATACATCATTGCTGTTTCCAAATCATAAAACATATCACAATCTTATCCAAGCCCACCTGCATCCCAGGGCACCAGAAACATATCAAGCCAAACTATTAACATGTTGTGTTGTATATATGGTTTGTATAAGGTTCACAGCAGAAGCAGTAGCACTAGCAAGAACATTTAGGGTAGCAAAAATGCTGGCAACCAATATTCCAAAAAATCTGCAGCAATGGCTAAAAGCCTATAATCCTCAATAGCAAACAGAGACCCAAACTTATTATACCATAATGGTTATATCAACTGAACAAGCAACATAAGTTAAGGTGATTGCATAGTAATCTCAGAGTATTTATGCAGTTAGTGAGAACACAATTGTTCCTGCTAGAGGCATCAAAAACTACCCCACCCTTGAAAACCACACCTAGCTCTACTATCAGCATGTATGAATACATAACACCACATTGCACAGTAACTGATACAAAACCATGAAACAGGACACGTCTCCGATACAGAGGTATGGGTTAGAGAGAGGCATTAGTCCAAAGGCCTCAGCAGCAGCCAGTTGCAGATGTCAGGGTGAGCTTGTCAAAACAGGCTGACAAACATGGGGGCCAGCAAGTTACCACTGATCACGTCACTCCTTGAGCCCAGTTATGCAGTGCATACTGGGAGACTTCCACCAGTACAACTGTGGATGTGAAATCCACAGGCTCTCCATAATCCACATGCCCTACATGGGGGTGGATCATCACAACCACAGGATTCTCCAGGCCTAGTGGAACCCATGAGGGGTGCACCATATCTCTTGCCAAAGGAATTATAGAAGTGTTATGCATGAGCTCCATGTTTTCCATTCATTCACCTTTTCCTCCAGAGGACTTCAGAACCATAATCTATCCCTGAATACCATACTATACTTGTACCTTCTACCTAAGCATCTGGAACAGTCAATCATTGAGATGAATGAAGGAAGAGGATATAATATTTGTATAACAAATAATGAGACTTACTCTGTGAGCATTGAACAATTCAAAAATAATGTAGGAAGTAAATTCTATTTATACTAGTACAATGAACAAAATACTTAGAAATGAATGTTTGAAAAATGTAACCTTGAACAATGAAAACTATGTGACACAGCTAGTCTAGGAAGCACCCATTTATACCTGATCCTTATCTCCTTGCCTCTCAGAAACTAACTTTTAACTTTTACAAAAAGAAAGAATTGTTTTTCCTTCATATTTTATAGTTGCTCCAAAGTTGACGTCTATATAGCCAAATGTGCCTCATGATCTCCATTTTCATGAGGAATAGCTCAGGTCCACTAAAAGAGGCATGGAGAACCCATGCACTGGAGGAGTGAATATCAGGCATGAATATTTCCTACACAATCCTTCCCAATCATGATGTGGGGAAAGGATCATCAACAATCACAACAAATCCTTAAGAGAAAAGCTTGGGATGTCTGATATGAGGGAGGGAGGCAAAAGGTTTATTCCACAGTGTAATGGATACAGTTGGGAAAACAAGTTTGAGGACCCGCAGCTGGCAGAAACTTCTAGGATCAGAGAACAGTTAGAAAATCAAAACAACAGGATATGCAAAACAGAAAACCAAAAACAGACTGGTTTGGATCAAGTTATCAAGCTTCACATGAACATAGACCTACCCTGGACTCTATCTCCACCCACATTCACCCTGATCACCATTTTTGGAAGAGTCTTGGAGGAGGAGTACCATTTTCTAAGAAACCCCTGGGAGGAAACTTTTCACTAGTTTCCTCAAGCAATTAAGAAAAGAAAGGCAAGTAGAGCACAGCAAATGCTCACAGACAGTGCCCATGCTCTGAGTTCAAGCCATAGGACCAACAACAAAAGGAGGGAAAAAATATTAAAGGAAAGGCAAATTTCATATGCAAATAACCAAAAACTCCTTAAAATTGCATAGAGGGAATTTGGGAGTTTCTGGAAAAATAATGGGTAGAGTTTGACCAATCTATTTAATTCTAAGATTATAAAGTATGTCTACCTTAAAATTCTGCTATTTTATTCATTTATATATATATTATAAATATATATATATCATATATATACATATATATATATATATAATATATATATATATATATATATATATATATATATATATATTAGAGAAGGGGGAAATGATCCCAGAATCAATCAGCTAAGTGTATGTAAATACCTGATCTTGTGGCTTGAACTCTGGGCCTGAGCAGTATCCGTGAGCTGTTCTGCTGATGGTGAGCTCTACACCACCTGAACCACAAGGCCACTTTAGTATTTTTGTGGTTAATTGGAGAGAAAGCTCATGAATGTTCTTGCTCGAGTTGGCTTTGGACCAGCATCCTCAGATCTCAGCATCCTTAGTACATAGGATTACAGGCATGAGCTACTGGCACCCATGTGCAAATACCTTTTTATTGTGAGAGGGGAGATATTCAAATTTTTAAGGCAAAACAGTGACCTAATTTATATTCAGAGGAAAATACTTTTGAACAAAAACAAAATCAATAAGCATGGAGTCTCATAACCTCAATTACATTAATAAAACTAAGAATTAAAAAGCCAAATTATCTAATGATCCTAATACATTTCTTTGTTTTGGTTGATCTCACAATGATTCAGGAGGTAAACTGATTTTTTCAAGAAGAAACTCACCTTAGTTCCCGCAGTTGGGAGAGAAAGGTCCCCATGCATCCATGCACACTTAGGACAAAGTGTCTGGTGCCAGTCCAAACCCTGTAACAAGCCTACTTCCTCTAGTTGAATGCATCATGTTATGGGAATTGTGGTTTCTATTGAGGTACAGATCCTTTGAAAGAGTGGAGGGGGGCCGGGGTAAGGCTCTTGAACCTACTTGGCCACTGTTGGTGTTTTTAGTTTGTAAATTCAAGTTTCTTTCCTTTTGCCTTGCTGCTGGAAGTGCTCTGAAGTACAGCTTTGCATTCCATAGTCAGAGCCAAAAGGAAGAAGCCCAGTGTCTCTTCTTCAGAGGAACTTGGGAGCTGTAACTTGAAGCAATCTGAGTTGCCAGCCAAAGCCTGCCCTTCGCATCTTTCCCCAGTCTGAGGTTGATGATATTTTATGGCCTAATGGAATTGTGCTGCCATTAGCACTTGTTCCTGCAGGTGCAAGAAACTGGCTGAGAATCCTCTGGCTCTCTAGACAAGGAGAGTCTACAGACTGAACCTAGAGATTCTGGTACTCACCCATGTGGCTTTATAAACTTGGTTTTTGTGATTTGAAGCCAATAAATGGAAAACATTCCTTGAATATGTCTTATATAAACATAGTGATCTTCTTTTCACCCTCTGCACTTCCTATGGTGTTTGAAACTTTCAAAATGCACCTGGCACAGATATACTCCAATTATTGTGTCCTTTCTTGACAAATTACAATTTCTCCATTAATATAATTAGTCTATTTTACATCACTTAAAATGAGAGAGACTGGCTGGGCAGGTGGTTCAGTGGTAGAGTGCTTGCTTTGCATGAATCAGACCCTGAGTTTGATTCCTCAGAACCACAGAAGCAGGAAAAGCTGGCAGTGCACTGTGGCTCAAGTAGTAGAGTGCTAGCTTTGAGTTTGGAGCTGAGGAACAGTTCCCAGGCTCAGAGTTCAGGCCCCACAACCAACAAAAAAGGAGAGAGAGAGAGAGAGAGACTTCCTATCTATGTATTCCAATTTAATTGTTAAAATATAATTTGAATACAATACAATGACCTTGATATGTGTGCCCTTGTCCTGATACTTGAACTCAAGGTCTGGAAAATGACCATGAAATTATTTGGTTCAATGATAATATTGTACCACTTAAGCCACACCTCCCCTTCCAGCTACTTTGGCTATTTTATTGGAGATTAGTCTCTCAGACATTGTTTTACCAATGGCTTCATTTTGTGATCCATGTAGAGATCCATCATGTGCATCCCAGGGTACTACAAGCAGGCACAGGAGAAAGATTATTATAAGGTTTAGTAGAAGGACCATATTTCCTAGGAGAGGGAGCACATGCATGTGTCTGTCTTCAGGTAGCAACAGGAGCTGGGGGCAGGAAGTTAGGCAGGTACATGCTCAGGTAGGTGTGGGTAGAAGGAGGGAGTGGTCAGCAGTATGGAGGGAACTCTAGGTCTGGGAAGAGCTCAGGTCTGGGTGGAGCTGAAGAGCAAAGGTGGGGATAATATTAACTTTCCTCAGATCTCAGCCTTCTGAGAAGCTAAGATTACAGCCATTAGACATGAGAGCCTAGTTACAATGTCCTGTTTTAAATTCAGATTATATTCTATAAGATGAAATAGAAATAAGATGAAATAGAAAACTTGCCAGTTTTAAGGCAGATTGTTCAGTCACTAATGTGGATGAGGACAGTCCAAATCCCAAAACACACAGAAAATATCCCACTTTGAAATTTGTAACACTCCTCATCTTAAGTATTGTGAATATCAACACTTAGGCTATAATAAATTCACTTTACATTTTTCTCTTCTTTTTTGGGGTCTAGTCGTGGGGCCTGAACTCTGGGCCTGGGTGCTGTCCCTCAGTTCTTTAGCTCAAGGCTAGCCCTCTACTACTTAAGACACAGTACCACTTCCGGCTTTTTCTTTTTGCTTATGTGGTGCTGAGGTATCCAACCCAGGGCCTCAGGCATGCAAGACTAGCGCTTTACCACTGAGCCACCTTCCCAGCTCCACTTTAATTTTTCAAAGAAAGAAAATATTCTTATGATGTAGAAAAACCCAGTACTAATGTGCAAACACTGCTTTTAAAAGATTCATATTGTGTTTCCTATCAAAAACAACCTCACTGAAGTAAACAGAATAAATTTTTGCTTTTTGTAAATGTCACTGCAAAGTTCATGTATTTTATATTAACAATTACTATTCTGGGTAAATGGGAAAAATAAACTGAACGCTGGATAATAAAATTTCCTGTTTCATCAACCAACAAGTATAAGCAAAAGCACATACCTAAATAAGTTGTGGTTTTTTTCCATTTTATGGATCTACATTTTGGGGTGTATTTTCTGTTAATAGTGTTTAGTAACACATAAGGCTTTAATCTTCTGTGGATTTGTCATTACTGGATACTTTAATATTCTACTTGATTCAGGAATGTTTCTTCTCCCAAAAGAAGGCCTTATGCTTTTCCAACCCACCTATCATGGTCTGACCAGGAACTTCTAGGGTAAAATCACACAGGTTCTTTTCTGACGCTCTCATTTGTCTTCTCTCCTAGCCATGGTTCCAGAATCTTTATTCATTGTCAACAGCAAGAAAGAATGGAAGGATCTCTGATGAGATTCTTTTACTTCTCACTGTTTGACATTCCATTTTATGAACCTAAGGGTGTCCAAGATTGAAGAACAGAAGAAAAAGATTCAGCTTCAGAAACATGTTTCTAAAAAAGCTAAAGATGGCTTGGAGATTTAGCAGATTATCAAAACTTGCCTTCTAAGTTAAGTGCAGGTTTGCTTTAGTTTGTTTCTCATTTTTGAATGTCAGGACAAAGTCGTTCCACTTGTTATGTGATTCAATGACACCTAGGAGGTAACTTCTCATGGAAGTAAAGGTTGGCTAGAAACTGGTCAGACATCACATTCTCATACACAACATTAGACTATCCTAATGAAGTTTTACTGGATTTGCTGAAATAGTGTGTTCAAACATAACTTTGATTGCTGTACAGGCCCGAGTGTGTTATAAGTACTTCAATTGTCTCTGTAAATACTCTTGGACTGCCTTGTAGTATTTTT